TTCTGAATCTGATCAGTATGTGCGTAAGCTGAGCAAGGACAGTCAAACCTTGACACACTTCACAGGAGACGAACAAACATTCACAAGTTATAAAACCTGTCATGATAGCAAACGATGAAGGACACCTTATATTAGCTGAAAACAGGGTAGATACCCTGAAACCTTCAGTAAACTGATAGTGTAACAGAGATACATGGATACCTTTGCTGTGGCTGCTGTCTGACATTACTATCCTCAATGTATCACTCCAAGGTGGTAGGAGATAACCATCTTCATAAAAAGTAGTGGCTGATATTGGAATCACACTCAGCGGTATAGACTTTGTGAATAAGTTAGCTTAGAGCTTCACAATCCTGTGGTGAAAGAGCCAATTATTTCAGAGTAGCAGACAATGAAAGCAACCCCACAAGGCCATTTATTTATATTTCCATTATGTGTAAGGCATTACATTTCTAAATTACAGGACTCAGAAAAGTGGACCATAAAGTAAGTTTAGCAAATCTCTGGACCCCAACTGTGTTCAAACATACAGCTACCGCAGGCAGCAACATAATTAAGCCGCTCAACACCCCAGGGTGAAGAGTTCACCCAAAATGAATGAGGTGTTTATAGGAGCATGCTACAATAGCCCCTGTAGAGCAGCAACCAGAATCAGCAACATCATTCCAGCCTCTCGCTGTAGGAATTTTCTGTGTTTTCACTCCAGACCCAGCTGGTACAACTACCAGGCCTCAGCAAAAATTCTGTCTGCATTACGTAAGCAGATAAAGGGATGGTGCTGGGCTTTAGCTGTACCTGGCAGCTCAGCAGACGTCTTGTCTGACAATGAGCCAGAGAAGACCAATAAAGGAAACTGTCTGTGTGAGAGGCTGGCGGTTGGTTACAGTACTCACTAGTGTCAGATCTCTCCGGTGTTTACATAGCACAGCTTGTCACGTCCAATAAGGCCAGTTCCTTAAAGAAAAAAACCCTGCCAGGTTGGAGTTGTACTGCACAGTACAGTCTGATGATTTATGTAAAGCTGTTATGAATACCACATTTGCCCATTTTTGGTGGTTTGAACACTTAGAAGACAGAGAGAGAGAGAAAACAGTGCCAGCTAACTTGTTTGGTCAACCTACAAGCTTAATTGGTGTTTTGATTGACATGTATATGTAAATAGCCAAATTTAATACTATTTCTGTGTCTATGTGTCAGCCCTGTGATTGACTAGCAACCTGTGTGTAACCCACATCTCGCCCAATAGGATCAACTCCAGCCCCCGCAACCAGCTAAAGAATAAGCAGGTATAGCTAATAGATGGATGGACAGTTTGAACCATTTCTTTAATTTGACTTTGACACATCAGGTATAGTATGTATGGCGGCAAATAACTACATTCACTCTTTTGAATGAAATATTTGACAACCAATAAAAAATATAACGTATGAATATTCTGATTGTTGGACTTGCCATGCAATTTCTAAACTACTACTGTTCCTGCTAGCTTTGGCTGGATGGAAGGTCTGGCTCTCTTGGCTACCTTTCAGAACCACTATCTTATAATCTTTGGAATCACAGGAATTATAGAGGCTGGATTTGGTGTCAGGTTTCATATAGAAGTCATGATAATAACAATTCTTCTGAAATACACTATTCTCTTTAGCATGAAACAACACCATTTCTTCCACAGAAGATAAACAATAACTGGAGACTGGCTGAACTGGCTCTTGGTATTTTGGTATGGAAACTGCAGCTCCCTTGTTCTCTGCTGTGTTGATGCTCAAGGCTGTGTAACCATGTGTACTGCACAGCTCAGATGGTGCAGTAAGAAAAAAGGAACTAAAGGTCTGAAAGTAAGAAATGCCCAGTAAGGCAGCGGTTGAGCAATATATAAATAGTCAGGATTTTTATTCTGTACTTTCTGGTGGAACCACTACACACAGGCCAAAGCAGTTTCCCCAGGAAACAACCACTTGGAGCTGCAACAAAGGCTGCACTTCCTGAACATTCACCCTGCTTCGAACTGTGCTCTACGCTTTTGCCACGGACAGCCTTCATACTTCTGCAGCTGGTGCTAATGTGAGCTGAAACCTTGGTGATCAACAACTCTGTCAACATAAGCACCTGGCTCCAAGCTCATACACAATCTGTTGAAATCTGAAAATGACAAATAGTTTGTATTATTATTGATCTTGTCTGTGCTTAGGTTGACGTACACTACTGTCTTACTTCAACTGTGACTACTATATGTGTCAGCCGCTGACGTTTAAACAGACAAGTCTGAACACCCCCATTTCATGCAAACCTCCAAGCAGAGCTTGGGGAGGTTGTGGGTGGAAATAAATACTTAAGTATAAACAGTTAACTCATAATGAGCTGCTCTCTGCTGTGATAAAGTTACACTTTGTGGCTAGTTAATGATGAGCATTAACCCAACATTACATGTTCAAATTTATTTTAAAAAATAAAATTTTAGACATTAAAGAGTATCAAATTGCACAAAGGGAAATGTATAATCTAGCGTTTTTGGAGGATGTGCCATACTAGGAATTAAAAAACAACTTCTGCACAGATTATCACCATTCTTTTTTAATCTATCTCTTGTGCGTCTCCCAGACCTATGGAAAAACTAAATCAGTGGAGTACCATTTTAATGCAAATATGCTGGGTGGGTGTGCTTTCCTTCAAGGAAACGAAATATACTTAAAGAAATCAGGTTAATTGCTTGTCCTGCATGAACCCTTTTCTTCCTCATTACAATTATATAATTAATTTTGCTCAACGTTAATTTAGAAATACAGACGTCATTTATATATGACACAACTGTGATTGGTACATCGAAATATACTCCAAGAAGCAATTCTGCTTCTAATAAATATTTAAAACCAGCACAGAGCAAATAGGCAATGAATATTCAGCAGCAGCAAATCACAAGACGCCATGATATGGTTTAGGACAGAAAGGCGCTGGGAGGGTGTGTTTGTGTGTGCGATGGGAGATGAAAACCTTTCTCACCCCTTCATATTTTTTGTACTCTGTCAGTGTCTGTTGTGGTGATTGAACTTTAGTTCTCGTCCCCTTTAACGAAGGATGGCACAGGATAAATGAGTTCTGTGGCTATTAAGTCGACATGAGCAGTCCGCGAACACACGTCGTGGCCATAGTTTCCAATCAGCCATGTCTAAAGTCCCCACATGCAGCTTGGCTTCCCACCACAGAAACGCTTAGCTGCATCAGAAACACGTGCTTGCCTGCAAACCCCCCCACCATCTTCTCCCCCCAGACTCAGTTACATAACTGCCACTTCATTGCCACACACAGGCTACATCAAAACCTGTACCCCCAGAATCACACAATGGTATCGATGCAGTTTTAAAAACAGTGCTGAGTGCGCCTCAGTTTTCTCAGAACGATTTGAGGACACATTTATACAAATGCCCCACAAGCTGACTTTTCCTACCTGAACAAGGCAACCTGGCTGAAACATTAAATGGAGCAAGCAAGGACGCTCCAACTGAGTCAGACAAGCAAAGCCTGCCTTTGTGCAATGTCGACAGATGAATAACCTTTTGTCAAAAGCTAGGTTATGCTCTTCAGACAGTCAGTGAACCATACGTCTAAATAGGATGCTAGTGAGCAACAAAGTAAAAACAATTAAATAAAACTGACCCAGAGAACTGTATTTAGATTTCAAACATGCAACAATATGTACAGCTGCTGAGGGAGAAATGTGTAAATAAATGAAATGTATGTAGTACTACATGCTATATATCCAGATCAATCATTTACTAAAAGTACTAAGTTTGTTTTAGTAAATACAAAGTCTTATAATATCAGTTATTTATAGGTTTACTATATGTACATGCCAGCAAACCCAGGCTACAACCTTCTATAATATTTAGATGATTTTTCTGATGATTGAGGATTAATGAGCTTGCAAGCACTTACTAACACAACTGTAACGTAAGTATTACTCCAACATCTGAGATTATGGCTGAAGACTCTTTTACAGCACACAAAGAACAGGACGATTAATCAATACCCCCACACTCAGTTCCATTATACCATAGACCTATAAATCTTTCATGCATATGCATTTTCTCCTGCTGTCAACAGAATGATATAACATTGTGGGAGCTCTTAGTCAGCTATTTGACGCTGTTTTACAAGTCGTACACAATCATACTGTGCAGACATAAACATACACTTCTCCTTTGCAGAAAAGAGCCTTTGTGGATCTATGAGACGAGTGCTGAATGAGAGGCATATCTAATCCCTTATGAGTTACCATTCTTCTTCAAATAGGCCACTCATTAATTAAGAGATGAAAAAACTTCAAACACATGCTCTTGAGTTAGAGTGGCACATCAAACAGGAGAAAGTGGCCTGCTTTAGTGAGAGCTTTGGTCCCACAAGCCAATTACCCTGCACATATATCTTATACGTTATTCCTTGAGAGGATAAAAGAGGAGTGTGTGGAAAGCAATCATACGAGACATCAACAAATCTGAAAGGTTCTGAGGCTGTAAGTGCATATTCACTATGATAGGGGAGTGATGATCAAAAACTTAATCCGGATGTTTCTGTGTAATCCAAATGCTGGAGACTCTTGGCAGCTAAGACCAGTTCTTATCTATCCACATACGGCTGTCTCTATATGAAGTCAGCCAGTGAAACTGCTGGAGATAAAGATGAATTTTAATTCTGAACCTCATCAGACATACATCAGTGTGTGTGTGTGTGTGTGTGTGTGTGTGTGTGTGTGTGTGTGTGTGTGTGTGTGTGTGTGTGTCCAGGAGTTAAAAAGCATGGAGAGGTCACACTGGTAAAAAAAAAAAACGCATTAATCCTTATGGAGCTACACTGTATACAGCAAGCTGCAGGTTGCTTTAAAAGATTAACTAGCTAAAATATATTAGCTGTATGTGAAGAGCTACATTTTCCCCTCATCGTCTCTTTGTTTGCTCTTCACTCTACTGAGCAAACAAGCAACTGTCACCCCCAGTCCTGTTTCTTACCTTCTATGCTGAGTTCAAAGCAGACATGGCAGAAAGATAAGGTCCCTGTTTCAGTCTCCAGCTTGCAGACACTGCAAATATTGTCATCATTCAGATCAATGTTCACAAACTGCTCCTCTTCATCCATGGTGCTTCTGGGGAAAACAACCAGTGAAAGAGAGAGCATGGTTATACCATACCAGGAGCTTGCACATCCACCCAGCTCTTTTTTGATAATTAGGTCACACTTTCAAATAAACTTATTAAAAATGCATTTTTTGGTAGTGTCAGTGGGGGAATATCTTTTGGTCCATACTATTTTTGGTGCAGAATACAGTAAAAGAGGAAGTATCTTCTTATGTTTTAAGTCAGTGTCATCGATAAATTGCCACACAATGGTACAGCTAATTGCTGACATAGCATAGAGAACAGGACAGTCTCTCACTCTAATCACTGTGCCAATATACTATTGGGTCCCATGGTGTTAAACACAATCTGCAATCATCCCCACACAGAAACAACAATCCAAACATCAGCAGTCATATCTTAAAAACAACTGTTATCTCTATGGGAAAAGAGCATATGTCTCAGGACTGGACAAGTGGTATGTAAGATGGCTTTGGTTTATGTAGGGTGACATGTACAGCGAGGAGGGATTAACTTCAAAACATTCAGAGGAGTGACTCAGTATTGCTGTGTACATCTCTCTTATGGGTTTACAGTATGTATGTCAATAATCCAATGCCCAACACAAGTAATTCCGAGTACAAATATTTAGACTGATATATATTCAGAACTGTGGGAAATACATTTGTTCAGCTGTACAACATCCATAAACTGGAAGCAAGCCTGAGCTGTCAGAAAGCAGAACCATTTCAGAGACTAAAGGAAACATAATTGCTCCGGTATAGCCCACAAGACATGTAGTAAAATTGGTCACAGTGTGGCAGTATCATATCATATTGTGGTATCTGGAAGTCTTTTGGCAAACCAATAATCAGAATATGCAACAGAATATATGTACAGTTTATTGTATCCATGATGCCTTTCGTTGCATTTGGTAAACTAGGGACTCTATTACATCTAATGTTTCTCTTTCAACTTCAAATTCAAGATTGACTAGCTACTTAACCACTGACATTAAAAAAGGGTATTCTTTGGGCAAATTTATTCCAGCGTGACAACTGTGAGATGACTTTGCCGCACAATGGAAAGCACATTCATTTAAAGAAACACAGTTTCTTTGTGCAACTAGGTTTCAAAAACAACAACACCTTGACACTCTCTTGTGACATGTAACAAATAATAACGTTATGGATGCTATGTTACAGCTATCTGCTGTTATTGAGATTAAATAACTCTTTAAGTCAGAGGAAGCAGCAACACGTCAACAACGACTTCTTGAACTGTACTGAGGGTTACACTGTCCGCATCTACAGGCTTTCACTGCGCCAATGCTAAGACATAATGCCCACACTTCACCTAACGTTAGCTATATCACACTGGACGGTGCTGGAGAAGAATAGCCACTGAGAGCAATAACGGGGCTCGGGTCGGGTTCCGTTTGAACTTTTCACTTCGTTGAATTCACACATACAGTTAACCTTCAACATTGCGTATTTGTCTCCCTGTCAGCAGTTTAAATGCCTCAATACCTGTGGAATATTAGTTGGGCTGTAGGCAGTCAGCAGTGACCAGGGTGTCTGTATACACACACCGTTAAACAAATGCCTGCTAACAAGAAGTTAAGCTAGCATCCTCCGAGTACTCTGGTCTGGCGGATTCGTGACCGTTATTTGGCGCTGTTAAACGGCGAGGTATCCAACAAAACGAAGGTGTCGCCAGTATATGAGGACACGACTTTTGTGAAACTCACCTTTATCTTAAAGAGTGTCTTCGGACAGCTGTTCCTTTTGTGTGGACACCTCTGTTCTCCTTCACCCCAGCGAGCACACAAACATCAGCGCGTCACGGCAAATCCACAGCAGATACAGGAACCTCTATCCCCTCTCGGTGGAATGGCCCACTAGTTTATTCGAGGGGTGAAAACAATCAGCAGTAGTTTAATTATTGGCCAATTTAATCCTAGTAAAAACATTAACAACAGGTTCTAATTCTTTGTACAAGATATACGTACATTTCCTAGCTGAAACTATTCTATTTTCATTACTCGAGACGGTTCAAACAGCAGTAGCAGTGAGTACACCCCTGCGATTAAATCAAGGTAAGTCTTCCGCGCGTCATCAAAACATTTCCATATCATAAGGCAAGAGTTCGGGGTTTGGGGTATAATGAAGTGAAAGATACAAAGAAGTGACAGTAAAGCATTTTCTCCTTGTTGACTACAGTGACTGCAGATTATGCTCCATCGCCAGCATACTTTCTGTTTTCATTCTCCTTCACACGAAGTCACACGTGGGGAATTCCCGCGAAAGATCGAAAGGAACAGCTTTACCCTAAAGCGTTAATAGCTTAATGAATAATCGTGCCATTGCTGTTCGATATTAACAGACGTGCTTTGTTTGGCAAACTGTATGTTCAAATGACTTCTACCGGTGATGGAGTGGTATCTGTAAACTCACATTGGCACCCCATAACTACCCCAAATAAATAAATAAATAAATAAACACCAACAGTTTCTATTCTCAAAGACAGTAGCAGGAGCCTGCTACATGCCAGGACCTCTTTATTTTGTTACCTTTGTCACAGAGGCTGGAGTTTGTGACTGCATATCTAAATAACTTCTCTACATTAATTACAAATAGTAACAGCAGCTACAAGTGGAACATCATTATTTCCACTTGTGGTGATGTAGGCCTGGCTGGCTGTGTAGTAGCCCAATGCGTTTCCTGGAAATCAGAGGTCTAATGTTATGCAAAAATGACTAACTGTCAGTAAGACTTCAGTAACATAACAGTAGCCTGCAGCATATGCGACCTTGTCAGAGGTTGTCATCCCTCCACTGAGAATTTATTCTGACTCTGCTGCTAGGCCCACATAACACCACATAAGAAACAAGGATCTGTTTCTTTATTTTCCAATTTTTATTTTTAGCTATTTAGAGAGGTACGTGTTAATTGGGCCATAAATATACTTTGAAAGGAAATGCCTCTGCTATCACATATACTCCATTCAGAGCATCAGTCAGACTTTTTTTTTTCTGAAAGGCCATTTCTTTCAGCCCCTCTGCAAGTTCTGCATAGTCCTGGCGGCTAGCTGTGGTTTAAATTGTATAGCCATGTAATGTGTAGCCTATACTACAGCATTAGGCATGTGCTAGTGGTAGTTTGGTTTGCAGTTTGTCAGTTTATACTGCATTCCCGTCATGTGCTGTTGTATTTCGAAACTATCTAGCAGATGGTGATGTCAAATAAGGCCACACTGCATCTTAATCTATGCAAGACTGCCAGCATTATGCAGTCAACACACCACACCTCTCCTTTGGTATTCAAGGGCAATGACTCCTCTGAGTGATTTTAACTCATGAAATAATAATTTTCACTACAGAATTGCCCATGATAAACTGTTATTGTTAATTCACAAAAAAAAAAAAAACAAAGAATGCAAATCATCCTTGGAAACTTCTTATTTTTGAAGAGTGTCCTAAAATGTGACTCAGTAATGATTTTCTATACAAGCTTTGAGTCAACTCTTACAAAGAGTTTGCGCCATCTCCTGGCCAAAGAGTTGTGGTGCAACAGCCACCAAAACCTTACTTTTCCTTGTGTCTAAGATGCATGAAAGTATACACCCATTACAATGGACGGACCTAAAATAAAGCTGGGTAATAAAAAAAACCATACGTAAAAAGTAATGAAATAGCCCTTTCTTTCTGCGCTGCCTCCATCTCGACATGTTATCAGCAATACTGCCTTCTATGAAGATAGTTGCACAATCCAGCTGTATCCCACAGGTTATAACCTATAAATGTTACACACCATCTGCCCCCTTGCATATCTGCAGATAGTAGATACACGGCAGATAGGCAGGCTACTAAAGATAGGAATGCTTCTACCTTACTCACATTGTACTATCAAAGTTTTATCTGGCAACCTTGGTGCACTCAGCTGTGCAGCCATCTTCAGTGTGAATCCAAATTACACAATTACTAAGAGGTCTTGTGTGTGCAGGCAGCCAGAATTAAGCTGTTATCGATAAAATCTGCAGCTAGTCCTGATAAATATGCTAAGGAGATCCTGTCAAAACATCCAAGCACTAAGACTTGTTCAGTAGTTTGACTATCAAAAAAAACCCACAAACAAATCCAAAAAGCTGCTAATACATGACTATTTGCCCTACTACCATCCACGTAACAGTATATAGCATAACACTGCATAATCTAATACTGCTTCTACATATCAGGCTTAATTTGTAATCATAAATGTGTCAATTTATTGCAAAGCTGGAATCAAGGGTGCCAAGACTGATGTCATCGGTACAGATCCTGACACATCCCCGAGTGGCTCCATTAACGCACAGGAGGGACACATGTTGACACAGTGGCAGTACACTAGTTAATGTGTGTTTATATGGGCACGTTTTCCGCTTCACATTTGCCTTCCCTTTCAGTGTGGACTTTGACCTTACAACGCTCAGCGATTATGTCCTTAGACTTTCTAGGAAAGTACTTTACTTTACTTACACAAACAATTTAGGTCACCTTGTAAAAAGCCAAATTTAAGAATTTACTGATTGTCAAAAATTGCAAAAAAATAATTGGTCATGAGACGGCTCAGCTGGTGAATTACTGTAATGTCCACATTACATTCATAATATGTTAGAGGCTTTCCTGTACCTAATGAACTGCCTCTTGTGTCTATTACATGACATGTCAATGATGTATTCACCCATTGCTTAGTTAGCCATGAATCTTATAATTCATCAATGCTGAGTGCGCCCACATCCATGTTTTCATCCTGACTCTACATCCACATGTTGCTGCTTGCCTCGCGTCTTAAGGGACATGATCTCAGATCTTGTTCAACAAGTTCTGTGAGGTTAAAATAAGGGGAAAGGAGAACAGTGTGTGGAGAAAAACAGCCCACAGCACTCTGTATGAGCTCTATTCTTCCAGCAGCCAGTCAGAGAGTATAACAGATGTTATTACCTTTGGCTGTATTTTCACATAATCTTTTAGAAATTACAGCAGAAACCCACCTTTTTATTTAGCACTATAGCTTGACAAGGGCCTTGCATCACTTCAGCAAGTGTTCTGTGGTTCATGAGGGCTTTGTTGTTGGTCCGTCGGAGCAAGTCAGGTGTGACTCAGCCAAACTGAAAAGTCCCTATCATAGTCAAACAAAGGAGCAACCAGACACCTTGTCTGACAAGAGAGAAATCTTGCAATCCTCGAGACACTAAGAGAGAATTTTTGAGAAACTGTGAGCAAGAATCCTCTTTAGCTGCAACATATTAGCTGATTACAGTACCATACTCTACTTTATGGTCATTTGCAAAAACATATATAGATTATTTTTTTATGCATCTAATGTTATGCGTGATAGATGCATCATATGAAATACCATCAAATTATTGCTTAGCCCTTATAAGATTGTTAAAACAGATCTAAATAATGGTAACACTTCATGTAATATAGTAGAGAAAAACTACAATCTTTTTGAAATGTAGTCGAAAGATTAAATTACATAAAATATAGTTGAAATACTCAAGTAAAGTACTATCACCCTCAGAATCTTACTGTGTAGTACTTGTGTGTACTTGTACATGACACTTTCTACAGTATTGTGGCCACTACACTGTGGACAGCAGACTGTACACAGGCTGGAGGAGTAGAGGTTGACTTTGCAGACTTGGCAGGCATTTTGGACAGCAGGTTAGGCCACATCCTGTCAGTACAACACAGACAATCCTGAGCTTAATTTGTGAGGCTGGAGAAAGCACCCGTTGGGCTGCTCCTCAGCATAATGGAGTCTGGCCCGCAGGCTGGTTTCCTTCAGCCAAGGCCTTATGACTAATGTGAAAAGAAATGACTCATGTATATGGTTAAACTCTAAAGATATATCTACCCCCCATATTTACCCTGCACTAAAATATCATGAATATGCCTAAAATAACAGCCACCAAAATCTAGTCTAACAGTGGAGACATGTTTACATATTGTCAGCTACACTACTGGAAGGCTCAAACTACAAATGACTACTATAAAAGTTGTTTGAAACGAGAGAAACTCAATATGATTTGAGAAGAATGTGCTTGTTTAAGAAACAAATGAACAGTACTGATCTTTGTATTTGAAGGTAAAGGGCTTAATGTATGCAACCGTTCTCATGAGGATGAGTATATATATTATTGACAAATATCAATATGTATAATCAGAATGGCATGTTGGCACACCTTTTGGTTCTTTTCTTGTCTTACCTGGCCATCAGACTGTTCCTGGCCATTAGACTGTACAACAGCTCTTAGTCAAGGCAGGGAGGACAATAGACAATGGACAATTTCCTTCCTCCTTCCATTTCCTCCGGACTCCATCTGCATTACCTCTGCTACATGCTGTGACTTTCATTCATTGGTCGACAGCCTAATTTTAATTGCACAGTTTACATTAACCTCTAAACACTTACCTGCATATGTTTCATTTCTATTTTTCTATTTTATTTTCTCTCTCTGCACATATCCTCTGCAAAAGTTCTATCTATCCAATTTAATGTATGGCTACTGTGCTATAGGTTAATTTTAACTTTAATGTATGTTTAATGTATGAATGTATGTTTGTATGCTGCTACTGGATGTTTGAATTTCCCTCGGGATAAATAAAGTATCTATCTATCTATCTATCTATCTATCTATCTATCTTCTCTCTCTCTCTCTCTCTCTCTCTCTATCTATCTATCTATCTATCTATCTATCTATCTATCTATCTATCTATCTATCTGTAGAAATAAACGTTATGCTAAATATGCTTAACTATTGGAACATGGAATAAAGTCTGGAATAAACATTTCTGTAATTTTATCTCTTTGTTATATCAGAGTTACCAACCCACATAGCAAAACTGGTCTGG